TCAAAGTTTGGATGAAGAGTTAGAGAGCTTGTGTAATCTCGGGTTAGACTCTTTATTATGGGTCCACTTAACATGATGATGTCTTTTCTAAGTGGCTCAAAGTAATCCATACTCACATTATCTCTCTTATCTTTAAAAAAAAATTCGTTATTGAATTTGAACCTGCATCAAAAAAGAAAAGTTTATCAACATTAAAGGTGGTGGAAATGCTATACTTATTTGGGAGATCTATCTTGAAGGCGTTATCATTGATGCGCTTCAAAATTTGGAATGGGTCAGCTCCCCTGGGGTTCAATTTTGACTTCATTTGTTTAGAGAATCTTTCCTTCCTCATATAGATTCATACCCAATCTCCATATTAAAATGTGACTCGTTTTCCTCCTTTCTTGGCTTTGCAGGTATATGATTCGTTCTTTTTCTTTAAGTGTTCCCATACCTTTTTGTGTATAGTTTTAACTAACTCTATTCTTTATTATCCATTCAGATTATCAAGTTCCTGCAAAGATAAAAGAGTTAAATTAAGTGGGGTTAGTAGATTAAACTCATATACAATCTTAAAAGGAGATAAATCGGTAAAAAATTGAATAGTCTTGTTATAAGAAAACTCCACTAAAGGTAAACACTTTTTCTATATTTTTAATTTTTTTCTAATTACTGCCTTATTAAGGCTCCTAAAGTCCTATTAACTACTTATGTCTGTCCATCTGTCTAGGGATGACAGATAGTGAAAAATAATAGTTTAGTGTCCAATTTGTACTACAAAACTTTATAAAAGTTACTTAAGAGCTTGACATTCCTATCACTAACTATTGGTTTGGGAACCCCATGTGGTACGATATTACTAAAAAATATGTTGGTTATATTCGTTGCATCATTTGTTATATGACACGTTATAAAGTGTGTTATTTTACTGAACTTGTCCACTACAATAAATATACTATCATTCCATCTCTTAGCCCTTGGTAATCCAACACAAAATTCATAAACACAACTATCCATGGTGCTGGCGGATGGGTAACAAAGTGTACAGTCCGTGTGGTAAGGACCTAAACTTGACATTCCTACATGCAATACATTTTTTAAACACTCACTCCACATCCTTGCACATGTTAAACTAGTAAAAGTGT